CACTGATAAATTCAGTGTTTGTCAGTCTTTAACCACTTGTGCTAAAAAGACGTGCCACGCACGTAGAGGTGCTTTTGTCTCGAACCGCGAGCGACGTGAACACCACGTCGATAGGCATTTATCGCAAAAATGAAAATAACGTTGTGCACACGTCGCCTAACAACGAGATTGTTTAGTTCTCGAGTTACAGCTCTGGATTGCACTCGCAGACGCGGAGCGCCGTAAATGAGACACTTTACCGCTTGTTATATTGTAGCTCACGGCACCGCAACCGTGGAGTTTAGTCGTAGCGCAAGTGGTTAAATTCTGACGAATGCGCTTTCCTCAGGTCAAACGGGTTCTCTTCTTAGAGTTTTTGATTTCATGATTGAATATGATTCAGTTTCTTTTAGGAACATTCTGCAAAGGCGCCGTTACAGAGTCAAATAATGCTTGAATGTTCCACATCACAAATTACCTGCTTGCTTATCTGTGATTACAGTACATAATACAGTTATCTCTTCTGATTTAATTTATACTTTTGTACTCGTATTCAAACTCTTCCTCTTGAAATTACGAAAAATTTTATAATAATAAGTTTTCTACTATTGCTTCAGTTTGTATGCTTCAGTTTGTATGCACGCATTTCTTAAAACATATTTTAGCACTGTGATTTAAATTGTCAAACCTTTTTCTAATCTCTATTTCCGTAATCCTGATTAATAGCTTAATTTCTAATATAAATCATATTAACTGTAAGTTTGAGGTAAAATGCATAAGCTTTGATCAGCAATATTTCTTCCGCCTGCGATTGCAGCATCAGAACCGATACAGATTATGGACAAACCTTCATGGGCCTCCCATCTGCTTCAAATTCTCGTTCTAAATTTATGTACATAAAATATTTACAGAATTTATTATCAGGCCGTCTGGTCCAGAAATCCTGCCATGCCGGGTTTTTACGGTCTTCGCAAAAAATTCACAAATTCTACATTTAGAATTTCAGCTTATGGTACAGGTTTCCGATGTTAAATTTGTTGTACCACCGAGTGATATTTAACGGAGGTACCAATCTGAGTTAACGCTTACCCTCAAAGATTGCTGCTTATCACTCGATTAAGTATCCGCCAATAAGCTGAAACACTATTAGGCTTGGAAAACATGTGATGATGATTTTCCCTTCCCCTTTCCCCAATATGCTGTCAGAACCCCTTAAAAGCAACCTTAAAAGAAAATCTCCTCATTATGTTGCAGGGCACTGCTATGACAAGTTAAAAGCATTAAGATAAAAGGTGCAAACAAAGAATTATTCTTCCTCTCACACTTGCGCCAGTTATGTTCTTTTAGAGATATGCCTTTGTTTCGCTCGCTACGATGGCGGAAGGAATAACGAAACATAAAAGATAAAATGGATCTTGCTTTCGAGTGAGACAATTGCTGATGGATGTAAAAGACATTTTCCAACTCTTGTTTCCGATTGTCCGTGGAGATAGCTTCGTCGGGTTCATTTGGTCGAACGACGGATTAAATAAAATGCATTTCAGATTCTTAATTGTTTATTTATTTCCTTCTTTTTTAAAAGGAATGGTTGGCTTTGTGTGTATGTATATGTGTGAGAGAGAAGAGAAAGAAAGAGAGTGCGAGATTTCCATTGGTTGACAGGTTCCGAATTTCGCTGAAGGGAATTTCGCTCGGAATATCTTTTCAAGTAAATGCCATGCTGTGGCAGATCCATTGATCATTTGAATACATTTGTTTTATTATCATTTTAATGAGTTACTTTTAAAAATGGTTTCATTGAAATATTTTTTTTTTTTTTCATGATGTCTTTTAGTTATAATTTTCTCTTGTAATATTCAATACAATGTTTAGTCCTTCACAATGAAATTTGACTGAAGTTAAAAAAGTTCGGCCCCCGTTGGCTATGTGTAGTTTCAATAGGAGTGTGAAATTTTTTTTTTAACTCATAATATCATCCGCATGCGTAAGTGAAACGTAAGTGTTTCAACAATGCAAATATTAATTTGCATTCAAGTTTTAAAATAACCTAGTGACATTTACATAACTAATGACATATTCTTTCTCATCTGTCTATGTGTAGCGAATTAAATATTTGTCTTTATTTTATATGTAGATAATAATTTTAAAGCCTGTCAAAGTATTAAAACAACTGCATTATTTTTTTCAATGCAAGATTCGTCACTTGTGTCATTGATTTAACTGTGTGTCTTTTTACTTTAAAGAAGGCGGTAAAAATAACAACAAAGGAGGGAGGGAGGGGAACCTTTAAAGCTTTCGGATCTTATATTACGCCCAAAAAAACTTTTTTTTTAACGTACCATTGCTCGTTTTGAAATTGTTGAGTTTGTTAATCGAAAATTCGTTAAAGTTTTACAAACTCAGAAAAAAAAATAATAAAACAAATTCGAAATTTAGGCTTTGAGACGCCCAAATTCTACATCATTCAAAATTTGATGTCTCTGGATACCGTTGTTTTTTCACAGTGCGAGAAACATACATACATACATTCATGCAGATTCTTCATTATTTAATTTCTTTAAATATAATGCAGAGCTGTAATATTTGGTGGCAACAATTTGAAAAGTGAAACGCTGTTTTATAGTTGGCGACGCAAAATGCCAAAACGAAATTAATAGCCCTTCTGGGCAAATTGTCCCTTTGGGCTAATAAAGTGCAATATATTTTTAGAATAATATTTAAGACGAATCTTATTAATAAAGAAGCAGTAAGGGAATGCTTTAGCTTTCGTGCATTTAACTCATTTAATTTCATGCGAAATTACTATATGAAGTTTTAACATACATCGTTGCATGCTATAGGCTCGTAGCGATATCTCATTAAATAAATGAACCATACAAAGAAGGAAAATTAAAAATCTTAGTGAGATAAATAATAACTATAGCAGTCAAGACGCACAATGATATTCACAGATTATTGACGGGGAGAAAAAAAAAAAAAAAAAAAAAAAAAACCACTGGCCGGGGAGAAAACGAAGAACGAAACTGTCTTTAATAGAATGATATTACTTACACAACAAAATCTGACGGTAAAAATAACAAAAATAATTACCGAGCGAGAACCCCAATAGAAAAACGGTCTTAAGAACTCTAAATTGAAATCAGAATTCTGAATTAACTCTATACTCCTAAGCACTTACGAACGCTTCGAAAACGCGTTTTTCGGATAATTCCAAAATAGCACCAGGTTTTCGAAAAATCATCAGACTTCACCATTGTGGAGAATTATTAAAAATTGCCCAGAAAACAGGCTTTTGCTCTTATCACAGCCTTCTGGTATTATCCTTACAAATTCAACGTCGGTCAAATCGGAATTATAGTTCGGGTCTATAATGTAATGTATGAGATGAACATTTAGGAATACTATAAATGAACCAAATTAGAAATTAAATAAAATACGCAATGAACACCTACGAATTTCGTAGGAAATGCGCCAAATACATAAGTACCGAATAATACCGTATAACATATAGCGTAGCGTATAATACCGTAATTACCGTATATCGGAACGTAAAATCACCGTACAAAATACGCGAAATATATAAGTAAGTGTATAAATAACAAAAACAAATACACTATAGAGTTGGAATCAGGAGCGCAGTTTTTATTTTTGAAATACTTATCTGGCTGCTCCTTGATGACGACAAACAAAATCTGTCTTCCCCCCTTCCTTTTTTCACTTCCTGTTTTACTCTTTATTTAAAATATTATGAATATTTATTTTTATTTTGCTACCAAATAAAAATTCCCTTTAATTGCTGTCCATTAGATAATTAATTTGACATAATTTCTTATTGCTTTACTTGTTTACATTAATTTCAAAAGTGAATTATTAGCATTGTAGAGTCTCGACTTTAAAATCTGAATCCTTAGAGATTTTTTTTTTTTTTTTTAAATTATTATTCCGTTTCTAAATTGGTTTATGGTTTTATTCTGATAAGCGTAAGAAAGAGAGAGACATGATAAAACCAGGTATCATAGCAGAAATTCTCTCTATTTACGCCAAACCAGAGATGGAAATAAGACAAACTCCAGTTTAATGATGTGTAGTAAGAACACTTATTAAACTTGTAGTAAGAAGAAAGATTCAAAAACTGGATTAATGTGAAATACGAACGTATGAATTTGTTACTTTTATTAGGAATCTTTAGCAGCTCTAACCAAAATCTCTTCATTAGTTCAGAAAAATACATTTATTAATGTTGAAAAATACATTCGCTGAATTTAGGAAGTGAAAGTAAGAGAATGATAAATAAGTTTGGAATTTTTAACATGATCAATAAAATACTGAAAGCAGAGAAAAGTTCGCAAACACACAAAAAATTTTGAATTTTAACTTCAGTGGATTTCTATAAAGTTTGAATTAATGCAAAATTAATACAAACTGAAGAATTTTTGAATTTTAGGCAGCTTTCAACATTTGGACAAAAATGCCCTTTTTGACTTCTGAGGATAATGAAAACTTCATATCACATTGCTTGAAGTTATGACGACTGTTATACACCATATAAGATGCTTGTGATATTCACATTTTCTGAATTCTAAACAGATACTTCAGTGCTAGATTCATTTTCTGCTATTATATCCCTTATATATTTAATGCATTTGCGTGCTTAATGGAGCACACATTGAGTTACTGATTTTTAGACAAAGATTTCTTTTGCAATTATGTTGGTAAAGAACAATTCCAAGTAATATAAGTGTAGTGCTTATATTATAAAATACAATTACAATTCTTTGTAATATAAGTGCAGTGCTTATATTATAAAATACAATTACAATTCTTTGTAATATAAGTGCAGTGTTTATATTACAAAGGCATCGTGTAAAGAAATCTTTCGTGATTAATTAGTATTTCAATGCTAAGGTATTCATTAATATTGTATTGTTCTGACAATTTGCTGATTTATTTAATGTAACATCAGGTAAACAATTTTCACGAGTTGTTAACTGAATCTTAATATATATATATTTTCCTTGCAGGGTGGGTGTCAACACCACCTTTCTGATGCTTCCCCTCCTGTTTGACCATGTCTTCCCCCGTTCCCGAATTTCGAGAAGCCCACCAGTATTGGCAACCTCTCCTCAACAATGACATCATCCGGCCCAAACCTCGACGATTAGGAGACATGAGCAAGCAGGACACCAGCCCTACTCAGGCCATTCAGAGAACGTCCAGCCGCGAGAGATTGTTTATAGGCAGCCCTCTTAGGCCCTATGAAAGAGATGCTGGAGTTGGAGGATCGGCGCCCTCTCTTTCTAAGACAACCAGCCGAGAAACCCTCCATCCAAATTCTGATGGACGGACGCCCAGCAAGGAAGGAGTGTCGACGACCTCCGGGAGCAGAGAAACTACTCCAGTTACACATTCCTCATCATCGACGGCATTTCTTAAGTCAGCTTCTAGAGAAAAAGCTAGTGCACACGGGAACAGCTCAAGGTTTTTTGCATTTCTATGAATGTTTTTAACTTAATCACGATCCTTAAATAGACATTCTTGTACATATATTTAAATAATATAAAGTGTGAGATCCGCATTCGTCGGAACTTAGGTAATTTCGGAAATTTCCGGATTTTAGATCCAGTAAAATGACATGTAGAAATTATAAAACTAAAAATATTCTATATTAAATGTTTCGTTGAAAAAGAAGTAAGTATTTTGCATAAAAACTTCCTTTTTTCGCTCCCCTCTTAAAATATGGCTTGAAGGCTGAAATGGCGATATTTTCTGGATTTAAAACCATATTACAGATATTCACAATTCCGTTAATTGAAATGGGGTGTTATTTCTTCGCTTTTTAAAGACTTGCATTTTTCATTTTTTTCCCCTCTTAATTTCTAGCTGCTCATTCGCTCCAGAAGTATACAAATTAGCAAATTGCGAATAAAATGACGGAGAACATAAGAGATACCAATGTATTGACTTAGATTAGGTGCCTTCTGTTACCTTTTCTGTCCAGACTGGAAGCATTATTTATGATTTTAAATAATTAAACATTCTATGTAACATATTTCAAAAGTCTGTAGCATTTTTTATTTGCATTTAATTTGTTTTTATTAATAACTTAGATCGAACTATAACATTATTGTGAGATTATACCGAAATACTGCTAATATTGTCAAAGAATTTAGAAAATTACATTAGATTATGAAAAATTGTGCTGTTATGTTAAGGTCTAATGTGCTAAATTATCTGCCCCAAAGCAGAATAAATATGACATAAATCTTTCAATTTTCTGTAGGGAAACATCGCCTCTTCACAATAATTGCCGAACTCCAAGTAAAGACCTTCTTTCTGGAAATATTGTCGTACAAAACAGCTCGAGAACTGCTGGAAAAGATATCACTGTTGCCTCTTCTCAACTTCGAAGTGCTTCTCGTTCATCATGCAAAGATGTTAACAGCTCTCGAGCATCCTCGAAAGAACCAGCCATCGGATCCAGTGCCATAACGGAAAATCATTCACGAACTCCAAGCAAAGATTTACTCACGAATAATCAGCCGCATCGCTCAAACTGCAAAACTCCGAATAAAGATTACATCACGAGCAGCTGTAACAATTTCTGTCACTCCAATGAAGTCCAGAGGGTAACTCGAGATCATCATCAACAACATCAAATGACCCATGCTAAAAGTTCTCCAGGTCTAAATTCTCGAACGTCTCCAGCATCTATCTTCAGTGACAGTCAAAACTTCGAGAAGGATAATCGGTGCCATCCAGCTTTCTGGGAATACAAAGATGTGGAAGAAGATGAATTTTCACCGGATGGCCATCTCTCTCCTTACATGGATTCCATGTCCAATACAGACTGTGGGTCTTTGAGTAAAAGTTCATCAGACGGTGATCCTATAATCTGTCGTAAACGACCACCAACACGGTTAAAATCAAAACGCCGAAATATTTTATCGTTTCCTCAAGTGTTTGGATTAGATGAAAGTCGACTTATTCAAAGGCGACACGAGTGTTACGGTGGCTCTTCTAGTGATGAAAATAAGTAAGTACTGCAAATTCTTATACATTAATTCTTTATTAACTTTTCTTACGGAAGTATTTATTTATTTTCAATTCAGTTTTGTTAAGAATATTAATGGGTAAATTTTATCGTAAATCTGCTTTTTCCTGCATAATGACTGATTGACGACTTTGATAGATTGATCTAGTTTAAGGCTTGAACTTGTATACCATTTAATAATAATAACCGTGTTTGGATGTCAAGTAAAATGAAATACACATGTTTAATTATTTGTATCACATGTAGACAGGTGTGCTTGGACTCAATGGTAGCTGTAGTCTAAAATAGATCATATTAGCAAGTTAAAGTATATCCATAACTCATTTCATAAATTTGATTATATAAAGAATGCTGCGAAAGCAAAAAGTAAGTAAGAATAATATTTCTGCTGTGAAACATGAGTCAATTTTCTTTCATTCAATAGACTAATTTTTGCGTAGAAAATATTTTTATTAGGGATCGCTTCCAAGTGCCAGAGAATGTGTGTTCTGCATTGGAGCTAAAGTTTTCTGGAGCTAAAACTTTCGAACTTGTAACTCTTCAAATATGAAACCACCACAAAGAAAAATTGTATAAATGTAGAGATTATCCAAAAAACTCCGAATTTTTTTGCAGTCATTAAGTTGCAAATGGTGACAAAAAAACGTTGTCGTGCAAGGAAATAAAGTCATTTTGCAAATGGTAACTTTATTGGTTGATAAGTGACATTATCTTAGCATTTTTTTTCTGTAGGTTTACGTTGGCTCTTATCTCTGCTTAAAGTGCCTCAGTCTTTCATTTATATCAAGTTTAAGGAATGGGAAAGTGCATCAACAGGAGGTTTTATACGTTAGTTATATAAATATTTTACGGCAAATATGCATTTCTTAGTAAGGATTGAAAGTTTTTTTCTGGTGCTGACATTCGAAGGGGGGAAACTATACTGCATTATTACTTCTTCGTTTTTGCCCTTAATATGCAATTTGAGTTTTTGCCGTGCCAGGTTTGTCGATAGATCCATTTTTGATATACAGCAAAAACTTTTCTGTATTTAGCGTACGACTTCAGCAGTACAGTAAACCCTTGGCAAACGCGGGGTAAATCATTAACAGATTACGAGTACAGCAAAATCACGTTGTGCATAGTTAAATTCCTATTAAAAAAAGAGGGTTAGATATAGTAATTATGTATACTTTATACAAGCCAATTTATAAAAGAATTTATGTATAATTTATACAAACCAATTTATACAAGAAATTATGTATAATTTATACAAACTTAAATATTATTATAATTAAATTGGAAAATAAAACACGTTAATTGAATGGATTTCTATAACTTCTAATAATTACTTTTTAAATAGCTGGTGATTTTTGCTTGGAGCAATGTCTGACGCAATTAACGAAAGGTTTCGCGGCAAGAAGTGCAAAGTTTTTCATAAACTATTCTCTTCTTTCTTCATTTGGGTCAATCTCTATTACAAAATCAGAGCGTTTTTATGCTTTTTTCAACAATTCGTGTGACTTCTTGCATCTTAAACGTTCTTGTCCTCTTCTCTATCGCTGCTTTTACCGTCGGCTGGTGTTATAAGATCATTCAGTTCTTTATTTGACATTTCAGAATAGTCATTCTCAACTAATTCTTTAATTTTTCCTTTTTCCATATCTGAAAAATTCTTCACTGCCTATTGCTTTTGCAACTTGTACGATTTCCTTGGCTTCATTTTCAACCGATACAAAAATTCTAAAATTAGGTACAACTTCTGGCCAACAGTAATACCAGTAAGAATTAATTGTTGATGAATTCACTTATTCCCTTGCCAGTTTAAAAATTTCTATGATCATCAGTATCTTATGTTGATTTGCTTCCAAAATTCCATTAGTGTGTCTGCTTTCTTCGTTTAGTGCTTTATTTGCAGAGATGTCAGCATGCATGACATAATAGGCTTTGAATATTTTTATGACTCCTTGATCGATTGGTTGGATTAAGGAAGTGATATTTGGTGGAAGGAATAAAACATCTAAATTTCGATGCAATGTTGTAAGAGCTTCATTACCGTGTCTTGGAGCATTATTGAAAATTAGAAGAGGTTTAAAGCTCAGGATTTACTTTTCTAAGTAATATTTGGCTTCTTTAATGAAGAAATTTTCAAACTTGTCATAAGAACTGTCTCAGTGCAACCGACGCTCTTCAGCGTACCACGTATAACTGAAATTCTCGCGTTGGGCAAATTAAATAGAGAAAAAACCGGATATATATATATATATATATATATATATATATAAATCGCGTTCTGCAAGCTCACATTCGGCAAGGGTTTACTTGTACCGTACAGAAGGCTTCCAAACTGACTTATATAAATCCACTTAACAATCGATCCTGCTGCTATTGTGTTACTGATTTAGTTTAATTTATATTACTCTGAGATTTAATTAAAAATTTCGAAGTTATTTCTTTTCACTTCTCTAGTTAAGTGTGAGACGTTATTATTCAGAGTTAATTGCAACTATTTATCTATGATTATAAAAAAAATTAATGACTGCAAAAAATGTTCCACAGCTGTTTTCATTTTAATTTAATTTTGTGATTTTGTTTTTAATTAATTCTTTTCTTTATTAGATCCTCAGGACATGCTAGTATGAGCGACGGCCAATCATCATACCTTAGCTCATCTCCAACAGATGGAATTTTATCCAGAACTTCCGGCAGATTGTCAGGAAAAACTGGAGAAATTCTAAACTCCGATAGCGCTAGAGATGATTCTCGAGGAGAGTCGGAGCACAGATTCGGAAGAGGAACGCCTCTAAAATCTGTCCCTGAAGATGAGAGACTCCTAACATCTCATCATGTTTCTTCTACAAAAATCTCTTGCCGACGACCTGCTCCATCTAGAAAAACACATAGGACTCCACTTGAAGGAGCATGCGGTCTTGAAGACATTAGACAAGCCATTGAACAGTTATCAGTACGTACCCAGGGATCCAGGACAAGCTATTCTACATCTACTTATTCATCTGTTAGTGGTAGTGAATCTGAACCTGTCAGGAGATTGATTAGGCATTCAAGTCTAGAGACAATTAATACAAATATTACTAGTGCAGACGAATTTGTGTGGGTTGACAATCACACACGCCTAGTGGAACTACAACGTGTGCCATGGTCCAATCACGATATTCTAAAAGTCATGCAAACTGGAAGACTGCGCGAGCATCTTGGTCAAATATCAATGGAAACAGTGCCACGACTTTCATACTTACTCCAACGACCTCTGGTGCGGATTGCCAGAGAAACACAACGGTTTTCTAAAACTCTTGGTATGTGCACCAAACAAGAAGTCAGTGGTTCTTTGAAAATTGTGTTATCTCCTGCTTTAGCAGACAGTTGCATTAAAGCATGTCACCGTGCTGCTGCAATATCTGCAGTCAGTGGTGACCAAATGAAACTCAGCAAAAGTGCTCGAGCTGGCCTTCAGCTGTCTGTAGGCCGCTTTCATCGGTGGATGTGTGATGTTCGGATAGGTTCTTTCGTTCATCAGTATGCAGCTATATACTTAACAGCTGCCATTGAAAATCTTTTAGAGGAGATTGTTCTTCAGTGTATGGCTCTAGATGGGTCAACTATGTTCACTGCAACGATGCTTGAGACTGCCATATCCAATAGCAGTGATCTCTGGGGATTATTTCAGCCTTTTTCACATCTGAACGCTGGTCGTACTGCTAGTGGTAAGTCTTTTATTATACCTAGTTTTTTTAATCGTCAATACTGTAACAAAAGATATTTTGTTAATAAAATTTTCATGTTCGTTCTAGTTAACCTGAGAACCCGTGCAGGGAAGTGTCTTACACCCCAGATCAAGAATTTTTTAATAGTTATATTAATTCACACTCTTCTCCAAACTTACGAAATCTCTTATAGCTTCCCTAAAGTTCATATTGTTGGAAAAGAGAACACTGGCTGTCGCACACCTCTTGCGAATTCTTGTATTAAAGTTTTATTCTAATAGTATTAAGAGGCGTAAAGGAAATTTTATTTGACGTACAAAGATGAAATGAACCGTCTGTAACTTTACGTGCTTAAGTTTCAAGGACGAACAATGAGCAAATGCCTCTGAATATGAAATTTTGGTATGGTATCGAAGCAATATGATTTTTAAGCATACTGAAAGTAAGATTGATTATGTGGCTGAATTCCGTAAGAAAATAAATATCTTTCCATACAAAACCACCAGAAAATAACCAGAGAAATAAATAAAAATGGCCAATTAAGGGAATTTTTGTGCGAAATCATTTTATCAAAATTACCTAGATATTTGAGTAATGCAATGTTTCTCGCAGCCATTCGCTCCAAAATGGCCTGATTTTGGCGGATCTTAGTGTTCTGCAACATAGATCGAAGATAGTAATAAGGTTTAAGTAGAATAATGATAGTTAAAGTAGTAAAAACAAAATCAGTCAGTCGAAAAACTACCATGGTAAGAGACCAGTATTTCCTTGTAAAAATAAAACCGTTGCAGGAGTTCCTCATCATAAAATTAATTTTAAAAATTAACCACACAGAAAATGCAGACCAGGGGAAATGTTGTCAATTTTTATTTTATATGTAATAAATGGTAGTTATTGAATAAAATACTATTAACCATGGAACTAATGTTTTATTGCTGTTTCAATAGAAGAAGCTGAAAGTTGTATTTCAGATACCATAAATGTCTTTAAACATCTGTTTTAAAAAGCAGATTTATAATTTACTTGAACAATATATTACATTGCAAATTTTAAATTCTGCAACATAGAACTTCGTCAAAAACGTTTGGCAGCGTACGTGATCAGCAAATCAAGAACAGCAAGTGCACGCTTCCTGATTCTGAAAAACCTGAATCCCTAAGGCGAAGAGAGATGAAGATAAAAACACGCATTAAAAAACCTCTTATTTTCATTAAAATTGTTTTCTTTTCATTCAGACCATAATGAACTTGTCATGCGTGAATTTATTTAATTAAAATGCTTAAATTGAATTAAATTTTTTGATCCTGTATCTAACTCATTTATGTTTTCACTTTTTTTGTGAAAATTAAACGAACAAAATATTTTATATCCGAAACACAAAGAAAAATTAAAACGTTTAAATCGAATACATATTCAACTTGGAGTCATGTAATAAAAAATAAAAATTGTTTGCTAAAGCAATAAACCGCTGTGAATAAATAAATTGGTCCATTAATGAGATCTATAGTGCATAAACGCTTAATAAGTGCAAAAACATATTGCTAAAAAATAAAAAGTCCCCCCCCCGAAAAAAAAGGTGCAAACAAAAAGTTGTGCAAATAATAAAGAGTAAATTATAACGAATTTATATCTCTCCATCCATCGTTTTCATTGGTGTATCAAGAGAAGCGAATGTAACAGCCTTTTTTTGAACTGACAATGACACAAATATACTACATTTAAATCTTTAATAAACTACAAAATAACAAAACAATTTATGCCTTTATCAGTCCAGCCCCTCTAGGCTAGAATAAGAGTAGACTATAGTTCATAGAGAAGTAGACTGCCACGTGATATACGAATTTAATGATGATAAAGTAGCTTTGGTACCGGGCAAAGTCCGTAATAAGATGAAAATGATAATAAAGATGAAACAAAATCTAGATTAAATAGATGAAGATAATAAAATATATTCAAGAACTACCATCTAACATTATGATGTATAGTTCTGGGTCGTTTATGCAACTGTTCGATTAGGTAGTCGTACTCCCCTATGTTTTTAATAACTTTGTGAGTGGAGGAATCACATTTTCGTAGAATTTGAATGTAATCTTTAGTAATTCGGCATCTAATGGTAAAATCTTTAGAGAATTATGGATGACAGTGTTTTAACGAACCACGGAGAGTTGGATAGGAATCTGAGAGTTTTACTCTGAAAACTTTGAAGCTTTGCTCTGTTTGAACGTGCAGTAGCTGCCCACGCCGAGGCGGGTCGGATAGCCTGTAGATAAAGTGTTTTTTAGTGTTGATATTTAACTTCGAATATTCGCACATTAAGGGGTAAATGCTCATTAAGGCACGTTGTGCTTTGATATAATTAACATGAAATTTGAAAGTTAACTTCTGGTCGAGATAAACACCTAAATATTTTATTTGGTGGTCACATGACACGATTTGCCCTTTTATCGTATTTTCTTCTAAATCTTGAGGGATATTTCCTTTTTTAATGTAAATCTCTTTTGATTTTTCGGGATTAATTTTTATTTTCCATCCTTTAAACCAGGGTGAAATGTAAAAATGGCATTCTGTAGTTTATTTCTTGCATGATATGGATTAAGTGAGTGACATGGAAAGTGCTGTGTCATCGGCATAGCACGCAGTGAGAATATTTTCAATATTAGGAAGATGATTAATACATAAATTATAGAGAAGCGGGGAAATTACCGACCCCTGTGGTTAACCCGCGTGAATTTTTCTTGTGGTGGAATAGATATCTTGAATTTTAACTTGAGAAGTTCTGTTCTTTAAAAAATCTACGATTAGATAGATGATGGCAGGTGGGAAAATTATAGTTCATCAGCTTGATGATAAGACCGTGATGCCAAACTTTATCGAAGGCTTTCTCTACATCCATAAAAATAGCAGCAACTACTTCCTTTTTATTAAAATTTTCACCTATGAATTCTACGATTCGGGCGATCTGCTGAGTCGTTGAGAATCCCTGGCGAAATCCAATTGATGGTCTTTGATGATGTTATTTTCATTAATAAAAGTGGTGAGTCGAGACTCGATAAGCCTTTCGAAAAGTTTGGCAATCGCAGGCAGAAGACTGATCGGTCTAAAGTTACTTGTGAGATTTCCAGCTTTGCCAGGCTTTTTAATGACAGTTAGAATGGCGTGTTTCCAATTTTTTGGGAATGTATTAAGTCTTAAACATGCGTTAAAAATATTTGTAATAAGGACGATGCCTTTCCTTGGGAGGTATTGCAGGGCCTTATTAGTGATATTGTCATATCCAGATGCTTTCTTTGGATTAAGTTTCTTTATAATTTTCTGTATTTCTTTGGGAGAAGTCGGGTTGTTTTGATTTTCAGGATCTTTGCAGAGGAAATCGGTCACGTGATTGATAATATTGATATCATTCGGGTGTGGGAAATTATTTATATTAAACTGTTGTTCATAGTTATCAGCGAAGAGGTTGACAATTTTTTTTATGATGGTAAATTTTAGTATTATTATCATCTAGAATGGGTCCAATATTGGAGGGAGTGCTTCGGAGAGCTTTAGCAACTTTCCACACAGAGTGGTTGGTGTGCGAAAGACATTCAATGAAGTTATTCCAACATTTGTTTCTGTACTCTTGGATAAATTTTCTGAGGTTTCGATTGGAAGCATTAAATCTTCTTTTGTCTTGGGTGGAGTGGGAACGTTGATAAAATTTTCTTAGTCTGTTTTTCTCTGTAATTTTCTGTCTAATATTGTGTGGGAGCGTATAATTAGTCTTTGGAATAAATTTGACGTGGTTGATGGCTTCGTTGATTTTACTGATATACAATATACAAAAGATAGATTGTGGCATCATGAATTTCGATACTATTAGTCATTTTAGTGGTAGCAGATATGTTTTCTTCAAGGTGATAAGCATAGTTTTCCCAATTAGGCGGAAGACCATGCTTTAAGCCATATAAAGTGAAGCGTACTGGTAGGTGCTGTGAAGAAAGTTCATTATCTACTTGGAGAAAAGGTATTTGAGGAACATTGAAGGCAATTAAGATGTCTAATACATCAGAAGTATTCGAGATTTGATGAAGATGCGTTGGTTCATCTGGACCATAAATGTTGATATCAGAATTGTTGATTATGTAATTGTTAAGGATAATTCCGTCTGGATTATTTCGCCTGGAGTTCCAGTTAATGTGCTTACAATTTAAGGTCCCCAGCAATAATAGTTGGGTAACCTAAGTTGAGAATATAGTCAAGATCTTGAGTGTTGAGGCTATTGTTGGGTGGCTTATAAGCAGCAATGATGAGATATTCTTTATTATCACTATTCAAAATACATGCACTTGCTTCAAAGCTCATGAGAGGAAGAGGAAAGATGGTACTGTTTAGACATTTTTTTCATGAGAATTAGCTGTACCGCCACCACGGTTATGAAGACGGTCAAATTTATAGATATTGTAGTTGGGAATTTTAAATTTGTCATTCGGTTTGAGATGGGTTTCACTTAATAAAATTTAAATCCGTTAAGAATTCTGTCTACTATTGCCACTGTATTTTTGTTAAACATTATAATCATTACTTTGTAAGTCTTGCCACTTAAATGATAAATAAACTATCGTTTGATCTCGCTCAATTAACTTTTCAATTGGATGTTTTCGCTATAAAATGAGAATCGCATACAGTGCCCGGATAACATTGCATATAGTAAATTCATGTTTATTAGAAGTACTCGGCTGAACTAATCCTAACATGTATTTCGAAGCAATAAAATAATATGAAACTTAACTGCTAAATTAAAGGTTTAAAAAAAATCTTAAATGTGGTGGTGTACAAAAATAAATGCAAACTGTGTGAAAAAAGAGGGGGAAAAAGTGAGTTACCTTCAATTTGCAGTTGGATGTCTTATTGTAGCCCTATCAAATGTTTAAACTTGTCCTTAAAGCTGAAGTTAGTTTTTTTCAAAGATGAAATTAAGAAAAAATATTCTTAAAGATTAAATACTACCACTACTTCGTTCA